AAGGCCATGTGGCCGCGGGATTGGATGAGTTCCGGTTTCCCGGACTCCACAGCATGTTCATTACACCTCAGCCTTGGCGTCATACTATGTGGACCTGTCAGTCTACGAAGTGCAGGTTCATGAACGTCTACGAAAATGGTGCCTGCACCACGGTCTGCCCCTGGACCAATTCCACGCACCTCTCATGCAGCACCTACGCAATGAATTTCGGAAACACCGGCAGCACGCATCCGCCCATCAACTTCTCACCAAGCACCAGCTGAACATCCTGCATCGACACCTCAGCCAGGACTTTGTGTGCCATAACGAGGACCATGACAACCACCACCTCATGTTCTTCTGCCCCCAACTCTACTTCAAAGGCCTCCACAACACCTGGCTTCAGTCCGGCACATTTGCCGCCACTTCGCTGAAGCCCGACCAGGCCGAGGCTCTTATTGTTGAAGCTATCCCCCGGCACCTGCAGAAGAGGTACAAATGGGCATACAGGAAGAAGACCACCGCGATCCCGGTCGGCAAGGTCTTTCTCAAACGTAAGAAGCAATGGAAATCGGGGCGAACTATTATAGCCTACCATAAGGTGGTGCACCGGCAGCTCTTCAAAGCGGTTGCGATCCTTCTCGGCGAGATCGCCGCGAGTACATGGAAGTGTTCGTGGGGGGTACACCCCACGCCGAGGATATGGCAGAACGTCAAACAATACTTTGACAACACAGACGACACAGTCACTCTCGCATTTCACAATGACGATTTGGTCGGCTTCTTCAACAGTGTCCCTCAGGATCAGGTGTGCGCAGCAGTTGAGCAGCTATTAGCAGAGCACCGGCGAGAGCATGCTGGTCTCATCTATTCAGTGGAAACTCAGGCGGCGGTCCACTATAACCGGGTCTTTGCGGGTAAGCAATCCTACGGACGCACGCCGACCACGCGGGTCATTTATGTGGAAGACATCCTGGATATAGTCAGATCCAGCTTCCAATGCATGTACGTCCAGGTGGGAACCCTCATTCTTCGCCAAGTCCACGGAACAGCGATTGGCTCTCAGCTGAGCCCAGTCCTCAGTCACATTTGCGTCGCGCGGCACGAAGTTCTCTGGCAGCGTATTTACGGACAATGGTTCGCCAGCCACAACATCTTCTTGGAGCGATATGTCGACAACAGATTTGTGATCTTCCCGTCTCCGGCTTCCGGTCACCCAGCAGCCCCATTGGAGGCTTTGCTTCACGCTGACTTTTATGGTGCACCCATCGTGTTGGAACAGGTAGGTTCCTCTGAGTTCCTCGGCTTCGTCATAGACGTAGGCGACCGGGCGATTTACTACAAAACCCCAACAAAAATCTGGCAGATCAGAGGACCCCACACTGCAGGAAGTCTTTCCACCCTTCTCTCCGGGGCTAGATCACGGTCAGCTCTCGCCACCAAGTATGCGCACCCGACACGGGCAGTACAGATGGCGTTGGATCAGCTTCGCAGTATCTATTTGTCCGCCGGCTACAAGTCAGCGGATCTGCAGCACCTGTTTCATCTTCCGGCCATCCCAACCGGAAAGAATGTTTATGTGCTGATTGTCGTTGTTTCTTGAGGTTCGGCTGCGTGGCCCTTGCTGGTCCTGTTCGGTTCGGTCGTTCCCAAACGGGGTCGGGCTCGGTTGGGCTGTTGGGCTTGGTTTGTTCTGTTTGAGTTCCGGAGCCCTTTGACTCGTGGGTTTATCACGGAGCTTATCTGGTGGTTCAAGACGTGGGCCTTTTCGCCGATATCGGAACGTGGTCGTCATGCTCGGACGCATGATTGCACTCCACCACCGGATGACCCAGAACGCTGCGGACATGATGCAGCTCATCCAGGAGACCTTGAATCAGGCTGACGAGGCACACAGTCGCAGGATTCATGGCGGGCACGATGGCGTGTGGCATCCTCATCTCCGAGGTCTGTCGCTGGCAGAATCCTCGCGACCGCGAGCACATGACCATGCCCGACTCGATGAGGTAGAACCACCTGGCCCCGGGATTCGGCATTCGGTCAACTCGGAGGATCTGGTTGACCCTCCACCGCTAGTCGACGCTCAGTCACTCCAGCTACACGTGGACCACCAGCGCTACGCGGTGGTTAACCCCAAGTCGCTGTCCTACGGCATCGTCACGGGGGATGCCAACGAGGCTATAGATCCACGCCCGAAGAGCTCCATGGCGCACACCCATGTCGGTCAGCCGAGCATCAAGAAGGCCAATGTTCCCAGCTCCATCATGGACAAGGGTGAGACCGGTCGGCGCAGAACGAAGCGGAAGCGATGCCGAGCTACATCCTCCGAGAGGACGCACTCCCCGGAGCCTCCAGCGCGTCCAGTACCTCGCACTCCAGCGCCAGCTCCAGTATCTCCTTGCGTGGGCCCATTCTCCTCTCCTGAATCCCTTCCTGAAGCCCCTGCTCGTGCTCACTCCGATGCTGGCAATCCAGGAACTCCCCCGGAAGTACCTCGCGCCTGGACAGAGGAAGATGACCAGCAGCTTTGCAGCCTGAAAGCGGACAACCGGTCCAAGTACTCGTACAAATCGCTGGCCAAGAAGCTCAACAGGTCCATTGCGGATGTCACGCAGCGCTGGAGGAGCCTGGAACGTCTCAGAAAGTTGAAGGAGCAGCACCAGAAAGCGACCATCTCGAACCAATGCACCTGAGCTCAGACGGCGATGCTACATGGTAAAATGATCGTGAGCAGTTAGGCAGGAGTTCTGCCAACAGTCTAAACTACCCATCGGCAATCATGATGGAGGCGGCTTTTAGGCGGTTCGGTTTTTCTTCCCCCTGCGGGGGGTGTGTGTGTGGCCCCCCTGTTCCTAAAGGCGTTCTGCGGTCGTGCTTTTTTCTCTTTATTGGAGTCGGACGCCACCTTCATTCATGTCCTGGCATGCAGTAGCCAGATTGGCCGTTGGCGTCCCTGAAGAGGAAGGCCAATCTAGGCGAACAATGTTCAGGCATGTGTGAAGCCGAAACTCCATTGCCCTGCCGGAGACCTTCAAACAGCCTGTACCTGCATGGTGGTGCACATTGTCAGCTTTTGCCGTCTCATATCAAGTGTGTGTCGGTTTTGTGATTACTCTACAAACATGTTTTCCGCTTGGTTTCTGCGATGCCAGTCATTTTGCGTCAACTTGTTTTTTTCATGCTGCGACCTTGAAGGGCTCGCAGCTTACGCTTGCAAGCTGCTTGCGGCTTGCGGTTCGCGGGTTCGCGGTGGCCGTTCGGAATGCCTTTCCGGTGCTTGCCTGGCCCAGAGGCTCCCATTCGATTGATTTAGGGCCTTCAAACTTGACCTGGTTTGGAGACCGGGTCCCAACCACCGTTTCCCGGGGTGTGGTCTCAACTACCTCCTGGGCGTCTTGGGCTCGGGTCCCTAAGCCGAAGCCGGAGCCTCTGGGTTTGGGGAGAATTTGGAGGTGGAAGGCCGGAATGGCCTGCCATTCGAAGCGCGATTCAAAGCAACGCAACACCCTGCGTTTCAAAAGCAATGGTTGGGTTCATGTGGCTTTGGCTAAAGAAAAAACGGAATTCCAAAACGGGTTGCCCGATCGGCAAGGGGAAACATGGGTACCAAAACCTGCGGAGCCAGCCCCTCCGATCGTTTAATTTTGAGCCACACCCATATGGGTTTTTATTCTTGGGATTGGTTCTTATGGGTTCATATGGGTTTACCCCGTGGTTCATATGGGTTTACCCCTTGGGTCATATGGGTTCATATGGTTCTTTTTGTGATGATTTTCCTTTGTGGGCTTGTACCAGTGGAAACCACCCATTTCAGGGGCAAGGAACCTGAGGCTATGGCCGCCAGAACAGAACGATGGCTGAAGAGAATGGCAAAGGCACCCCCCACCACCAAATACCCGCGTTTTTCTATGGTAAATACCGATCCCTTTTGGTAGAGGGTCGACAAATCAGACCCTAAAAGGCCGGGTATGTGGAGGGGGGAAGGTATCAGCCCAGACCTGCAGTAGTGTCTTTTGTTCATTTCTTTCAGGGTGTTGTTCCTTCAAACTGCCTCTGCCCTTCGCGCCATCCTCCAAAACTGCCAGGGGGAAAGGCACTCGTAAGACGTGGCCGGTCTTTGTGACCAAATCGACCCACAAGGACGGACCATTTGGAAATAAGCGGTTTGTTTTTCTTCTTTTTGTAAGAAACCTACAACAGGTGGTGGTGGCAGACAGTGAAAGCCTGCTCGAGGCCATTGACAAGGTGGCCGAGAATTCCGATGACGAATTCGACAGGGTGGAACTCGCTATGTCACATTCATACCCCTCCTGGGGCCCCAAAACACTGTTTTTTCTTGGTCAAAAGGCTTTGCCCGAAAAAAGTGGTCATACGGCCAAATACGTTTTCCTTCGCTTTCTTTGCAATATTTTATCGACAAAATACGGGTTGTATACGGCCAAATACGGGCAACTCTGGCAAATGACCGAAAAAACAACCTTTCGGGTAAAAACATGCCAAATATGCCTTTTGACCGAAAAAAAGTGGCGTTTCGGGGCTCCAGGCTTACACCCAATACCCACTTTTTTGAGTTGGTATCATGTCGACCCGCCACTAAAAAAGGGATCGGTATTTACCTTGGAAGACCGATCGGTTTTCCCAAAAAGTACCCTAAAAAAGGCCGGGTATTTGGAGGTATAGTCATGGGATTCCGGAAGGCCAGTCGATCGAGGGCTCAACTTTTTCGACTCGTCCATCAACCTCTCGAAAGTGGATGCGAGGGGTGTGCCTTTTTTGCTGTTTCGCCTTTCAACGAAACACATGCCCGTCTTGGTGATTTGTTGGCTGGTTTTGGGTTTGCCCTAAAAAACTACCTTTACCTGGAGTCTCCATGACCCTGAAAGAATGGTTGGTCATTACTCAAATGGTTGGTCATGACCAACCATTTTTATTTCGGGTCCAATTCGGGAGACTCCAGGTTCCCAAAGTGCCGAAGATCTGTTACTGGCACTCCCGGCCGGCCGGGGGCCCGGGGCCGGCAGGCCCGGCTCCTTGTCGGACAGCATCCGTGCCAAGGCGGCGCAGGCTCGACGGTCGGCGGGTCGAGTCCAGGTGGAGTTTTTGGGCACGCGGCAGATGTACCCACTTTTTTTAGGGTATCATGTCCGCCCTTTACAAAAAAGAGGTATCTACCATGGAAAACCAGGTTTCCCCAAAAATGCTTTAGAAAAAATGGGTATTTGGAGTAGGGGCGAACCCTATCAGCCAGACTACGCTCGGAACCTCCAAATACCCGACACATTTTTTTTCAGGGTATGATGTCGACCCTCCATTAAAAAAGGATGTATTTACCATGGAAACCCAGTTTTTCCAACAAATACCGAATACCCAAAAAATGCAGGTATGTGGAGTAGGGGGTATAGTCATGGGGGCTGGGGGGGAGGGAGGGAAGGGGGAGGGAGCCCAAGTAAGCCCTCATGAAGCCACTAATGTTTACCCCGGTTTATTTTTATTCTGTGGGACGAGGTCCATTCGCAGCACGGTGACTGAGTTGCCATGATTGAACACATAACGTTGGTTGGCATTTACAGGACCCCTTACACCCAATTTGTTTAGGGTATCATGTCGACCCTCTACTAAAAAAGGGATCGGTATTTACCATGAAAAACCGATCGGTTTTCCCAAATACCCTAAACAAAAGTGGGTATTTGGAGTAGGGGGGAGAATCAAATCATTCCAGGGTGCCTGGGTGCGAAATGGAGTTCGTCCATCCACTATGTCCTGAGGCGCTCGGTGGATTCCTTGGGGTTTTACAACTCAGTGGATCCCAGCTTCCCACATGCTACCAGCTATTGTCCTTTTGGTTTTAAAGGGTTCCGTTGGTTACGATACGGCAAAAATGAACCAATGGGCAAAAAAGTATTTGCTTTTTTTGGGGTAGGCATATCTTCCATTTGCGTTTCAGAATTAAGTTTAGCTTATTCTCCACTGTTGGCTGTAAAGGGAATCGATTTCACTACTGGACATTTTGGATCATTTTTCCAGTGGGTGAAAATGCAAATTGAGGATGTGGAGACTCACAACATGCTTTTCGTGTACTTCAGATGTGGGCCGGCCACGTTAAGGTTACGTTCTGTTCGGTGGGTTCCTGACGAAACATGTCAACTAACCAACAGGAAATCTCTGTTGTTCTAATTTCACCGGGCCACTGGGCAACAATTACACCACCTCAACCCTCAAACGTCCTTAAAAAGAGAGTTCATGCCATACATTTGGGTTGCTATAACCTATATTAACAAGTTGGAATTCGGAGGGTCCAGGCACTTGGATGTTTCTGGGCCTGTAGTGAAGCTGCGGGGGGTTCCACGGGCGCACGAAAGTGTGCGACTTGCGTGTTCGGGCAAGCTTCCCTCACAGCCACAGCTTAGCAAGGGAGAGACTCTGTTGCCCAGTGGATTCTGCCCTTTTTTCAACTTCTTTTTGGTACCTGGAGTCCCCATGAGCCTTTAAAAACGGGGTCATGACCCCTTAATTTGGGTAATGACCCCACTTTTTCAGGGTCATGGAGACGGTTCCCCTTTAAACTCAACCAACAAACCATTGTGTTCTTTTTTTCCCATGGCCACTGGGCATCTGTGAAGAATCCCAATGAATAAGTGCCCCGGCGAACTCTTGACATTGTTTTGGTACCAGTACCCTCCAAGGGTGGTCCAGATGCGCCCTTATAACATGTTTTAGGTAGCAATCGACAATCCTTGGAGGGTGCTGGTACCTGGAGTCTCCATGACCCTAAAAAAACAACTTTTCTAGCGCGTTGGCTCCTCAAGCATAGTCAGCCCCTTGCCAGAGCCTCCAGTGATTACAATGGAGGGTTGAGTCACTGAGTCGGGGGTTTGCGGTTTCAGTGGGAACCACCGCCCACGTGGATCATGAATTCCCCCGTATGCGTATGTGTCAAACTACCCCCTTTTCTGGGGTATTTTTTGGAAAACTTGGTGTTTCAAGGTAACTACTTCCTTTTTCCCCAACAGCTGAAAGCTTTGGGGTCTCAGCCCAGATAGGCTCCGGGGTAGTCCGGGGCGGCCCTGAGGTAAGGTTCCACGAGGGTTTCACCATGGTTCCACCAGGGTTCCAGGGTTCTGGGAGGGTTGTGGGAGGGTGCTGTTGGGGATGTGGCCTGAGCGTATTTAGTAGAGGGTTGACATGATACCAACTGAAAAAGGCCGGGTATTTGGAGTCGGGGGCCCGGGGGTACGGGGACCTCCAAAATGGCTTCGTGGTCCTTTTTTTTCTCCCCCCGCAGCTCTTGGCAGGTGTGTTTTGTTGTTTTGCTTTTGGGGAGGTTCCGTTCAGCTTCATCGGCTCGGGGGCTGCAAACAGCAGAACCATTTTTGCAACCCGACGGTTCTGGTGGGTGAATTGCTCTTGGGTAGTTTCTTCGGGTCCAGGTCATAGGTGTCCTTTTAGGGGAAATAGATTTTCTGGTAGATGATTAAACCACCAGGTAAACCAAGGCCATCGATTTTTCCACCAAAACAACCAAACAGGACACCTACTGTACCCCCGTAACCTCCAAATACCCACCTTCTTAAGGGCATCTTTTGTAACACCGATCGGTTTTTCAGGGTAAATACCGATCCTTTTTGTGGTAGAGGGTCGACGTACCCGAGAACAAGGCCGGGTATTGGGTGTTTTCCGGGGCACCTTTTGGGTTGAGTGGTTGTTTCCCTTGGGGTTTTCCAAGCTGTCGGACTTCCTTCGGCTCAGAAACCACCGAGCCCCCCCGCCCCCTTGTTTTTTTTCACCTTTTACAGACATATAGCCCATTGCCATGTTACCCCCAAAAAGTTGAGACCAGTGTGTGTTTTTTAAGGTCTCGGGTGATGAAGCCATGCACGGCTCAAGATTCCCGTTGTTCGGAGCCCGCGAAATCGGCCCCGGAGTCGATCGGGTTTTCCGGGTTGGAACCCGGGTCCCTTTACCCCCCCGGCCTCAACCCAAAGGCTCCTATCGATGGATTTCGGGCCTTCAAACTTGACCTGCTTTTGAGACCGGGTCCCAACCACCGATTCGGGACCGGGGTGTCTAATGGAGGGTTCGAAATGGTCTTCCATTGAAAGCCGAAGTTCCAGGAGCCTCTGGGCAGGCAAGCATTTGAACCGAATAGCCTAGCAATTGTGCATGGTGTTTGATTCAGGGCACTTTGATACGCAACGATCACCTAGTTTTGTCACGACTTGCTTGGAAACGAGTTGTCACCGAAGCAGCATCGCGTGCCAACATTGAACGAAAGCCGAGAGTGAAAAAAAATCTTGAACTGATCCCAAGCTGCCCACCAGATGGCCATGGTTCAAAACCGTTTTGGGATCCCATTTTGATAGGTGCACCACCGACTTTAGAACCTACTTTAGTGGGGATGGGGATGCTCACTGTATCCGGGGTTTTGACAAATGGCCATCTCGTGTTTTTGTTGCACCCCGCAATCTGAAGCCCGCTTTGTTTGGTTTAACCCGTGAGTTGCAGATAAAAAGAAGAAGAACTTCCCCCTACTCCAAACACCCACTTTTTCTAAAGTATTTTTGGGGAAACCTGGTTTTTCAAGGTAAATACCTCCTTTTTTTGTAAAGGGCGGACATGATACCCTTAAAAAAGTGGGTATTGGGTGTAAGGGGTAATTTTCTTTTGCTTTGAGGATCGCTGATTGGCGAATAGGTCGCTGATAGCAGAACTCTTGACCCGGTCTGGGACAGGAAGCCCGCAGAATCTCCTAAAGTTTGGGTTGAATCGGCTGGAGCCAACAACAAGATGGTTACAAACTAAAACCACCGGAGGGGGGGGGTGGAGTGTGGGGAGCAAAGAGCTTCAACTGTGGGCGAGCTGTGCGTATCCTGCCAGTCGACAACGCCAGGGTGAGAACTTCTTCAGGTCTTGAGGGATTTGTGATCTGGCTGTGGGGCAAAAATACCCCTTACACCCAATACGCACTTTCTTAGGGTGTTATGTCGACCCGCTGCTAAAGAAGGAGGTATTTACCTTGAAAAACCGATCGGTTTTCTCAAAAATACCCTAGGAAAAGTGGGTATTTGGAGGTTACGGGGGTAGGGTAACCCCAAAATGGCAACCGCCCTAATGGAAACATGGACAACAAGTTGCTGCGGACCCATTCCTAGTGGCTCAATTTCGACCATGCCACGCCCGAGCCCGTTTTTGTTTTTTCGCCACTTCGGAGTTCAACAACTTGACGTCGTAATTAGTCCCGAGCCGGTCCCGCGAAGGGTTGAGAGTCCCTAAAGCCATTCGAAAAGGGGAAGTCCATGGCAACTTACATAGGTCCCCCAGCAATTTGTGCCCGACCTCTCTCGCCCGTTTCTTTTTTGGTTAAAGTTTGGGGTTCCCCTAAAATAGATTAGCGAAAAAAAGTTGGTACCCTTATATTCTAACCTCTTACTGGCGGACCTAGCATGTGTGCGTGCGCATGTCAGGTTAGTCTCTGACAACTTGAATGCTCCCAGGACGTTCCAACGCCATGAAGGTGGATGTTCACTTGCCCTGCGGAGATGGCTGCTCAGTAGAAGTCTCACCAGACACACCGATCAGCGAGCTGAAGGCTGCAGCGGAGCAGCATTTCCAGCGAGGCTTGAAGCTCGCTGCAAAAGGGCAGCAGCTCGATTTGAGGGTCACACTGCGTGAGGCTGGGCTGCAAGATGGGGACGCAGTGGCAGCGATTGTGCAGCTGGGCCAGTTGGCTGCCACTAGCAGGGCCTTCGCTTGGCATAGCCACGAGGGCGAGGTTGTGACCTGGGGTGATCCAGAACATGGTGGAGACTGCAGCCAGGTGCAAGATCAGCTGAGGAACGTCCAGCGCATCCAATCGAATGCCAGGTTGTTTCCGGGCGGTGCTTTTGCTTCCATTCTTGTGCAGCCAGGTGCAAGAGCAGCTGAGAAACGTGCAGCACATCCAAGCAACTGTTGCGGCTTTTGCTGCCATTCTTGAATCTGGGGCTGTTGTGACCTGGGGGATGCCAGACTTTGGTGGAGACAGTAGCCAGGTGCAAGAGCAGCTGAGGAACGTCCAGCACATCCAA